GAAACATGGATATAAGAGAGAGGTCTTGCTGTGATTGACGGACTTTAAGGCCTTCCAGCGTGCAGAAAGGAGGAAGAGGGAGAGAAGAGAGAGAGAAAGAGAGGCAAAAAAAAAGGAAAGAAGAGAGGTTGGAGGGCTGGAATAGAAGCTGAAAAGTGACTCTCTTAAGACTTGAAGAGGACTTGAAGGGAACTTGAAGGGAGGCTTGAGGGGAAGCTTGAAGAAGGACTTGAAAGAGACTGAAGGGAACCTGAAATCTGAATTTTAATCAAATTCAGCACTTTAAAGCTCTCTTCGCAAAGTGACAAGTCCTTTTAGCTGGAGACGGAGTCTGTGAAATGTCCAAGTGAGAGCTCGCGTCAAACTCTGATCAAAGTTTCGTGTGACTTCTATTCTTTTGGCGTTGGTGCTTGCGTTTTTTCCTCTTGTCTTCTTCTTGTCTCTTGTATTTTCCCTCGCAAAACCTTCCATAAAGCGATTTCGTGTGGCTTCTTCTTCTTTTCTTTGGTAACTGCGTTTTGTTTAAGCTTGTTGTTCTTTCATTTGGCTCTCTTTCGTGGAACTTTTTAATTGATTCCGTTTTGTTTGAGTTTGTTCTTTTCTCATTTTAGATTGCTCTCATTTTCTTTCCGTCGCAGAACCTTCCATCGTGTGAGAAGCCTTGCAAGTCGATTTCGTGTGGCGTCTTTGTGTTTTGTTTGGTGATTGCGTCTTGTTTGGTTTGCAATCCTTGGTTGAGGCTTCCTTGAAGCCTCCTAGGTATCGATTCTGGACATGGAGACCGCGAGCTACAGCAAGCCAGCGATGTTTCCAAGACTTCCTTGTTGCAGGTCCGTCGCTGCTGTCGAGAAGAAGATAGCGACAGTGACATTCCATCTCTTGCTTTTCCGACTTCTCGAAGCCTGTTTTGCAGCCAAGCGGTCTCGTTGTATCTGGTGTTGCAAGACCCTTTTACTTGTTCTTATAAAAAGAGACGAATGTTCAATCTACAGTTGTTCCGTTCAGAATTGAGCTGCCTTTTCTGCACCAAGCGTTTTCTGGCAAAAGACAGTTTCCTACCAGAGGCTGCGTCTCCGGACCGTTTCCTACGAGAGACCCATCACCCTTTTTATTTTCAGTTGGCAGAGAAAGTTTTGCTGTAGTGAAAGTGATGTGCCCAAGACGACTCTATCCAAGCGAACAGAACCATTGCGCTTCATGTTTTTTTGCGACTCTGAAATCTGGAACTTTGTTAAGCCGGATAATTAATCGCAAGTTGGTTTTTTTGCTTCCTGACAATGACAATGACAATGACTCCTCTAACTGCTGCTAAACCCAACCTTTCGGCTGCACATGCGCAGAGACTTGGCAAATCGACAATCTGGCTGTTTTAAGAAGAGCAAGTTCCAAACGCGGATTTTGCTTCAAAAACCGGAAGCTAAGATACCCTGAGAGTGCCAAAAGGTCAGCTTGGTCAGTCGGGTTGAAGTTGTCCTCCACGATTTTGTTCGGGTTCAGCTTTTTAAGTTCTTAAAATGGTTGTCGAAATTCCTGGTTTGGCAACTCAGGGTTCTTGTCGGGTTGCCGATACGTTTCACCTTGTACAGCTTCTTTTGCTCAATTGCTCGTTTATACTTGTGCTACCACAAAGCCGAAGTTTCGACAAAAACACTATTTCCAGGTTCGAGCAGGACTTGGGTTTGTTGCAAAAGATGTCCTCTGTCACAACTACTGGACAACAAAGCCAACATAGTTAAGTTCCAATTTTCCGTTTATTCGATTGTCGATTGCTTTCTCAAATTTACCTTTGTTTTCCATTCATCTTCGCTTTGTTTTGTGGTCGCTCCACAGCAAGGACGTGTAGCTTTTTTCTTCTTCTTGTTACAGACAAGACGTTGTCTCAATTTGAATGGTAGTTCATGTTTCCCACTTAGAAAGAATCTGTGTACGTTTTGTCTGTAAATGACGTTTGATTTATTTCAGATTGTTTTGAATAACTTTGATTTGGTGTTTCTTCTTTTTGGTTGTCAAAAGCCAAACCGCCAAGTTTTGTTTCTTTTCGTCTGTCAAAGAGCATATCTATTTTGTTTGTTAACGTCAACATTTTTTACATGAGTTTTCACGTTGTTTTCTTCGCTGTTCTCTGAAGCAAAGACGTTTGGCTTTTACCTGCTTGTCAGTCGAAAAATGTTTCGATTGTTTTTGAAATTTTGACGTTGTTATTAACGACTTGCTGTTTGGGGGGAGAGGGACTTCTTCCGTTTGGTGTGTCGCTCGCAGCAGATTTTGCCCCCGTTTACAGACGAGACTAAAAACAGCGCCAGCGCCAGCCCCAGCCTGGCGCTGGTGCTGGTGCAAGCACCAGTCAGCCCCGTGCCCACGCCAGCCCTCAAGCCAGCCCAGTGCCAGTGCCAGCACAGCGCCAGCGCCTTCCCTTGAACCCGCTCATTTGGCGCTGAATGGCACCTTCATCTGGCGATCGAGGTTGGTCACAGATCTTCAACTCGCCCCCCTTTGCCGATCGCGTCACATTTCTTAAACCCACCCCCTCATTTGACGATCCTGTCTCACCGCTTATCTTAAGCCTGCCCTCTCATTAAGCGAAACCGGTTGATGATAATTCTCAAGTCCGCCAGCTCTGTAATCATGTAGGCGATCCTGGTTGATCACGTTGTTTAAACACCCCCCTCAATCAAGGTTCATCACATATCTTAAACGGTTCTCATTAGGCCATCCTTGTTATCACGTATCCTAAACCTCTCCTTTGGCGATCCCGGTTCATCACATGTTCTGAGCCCGCCCCTTCAGTCGGCGATCCAGGATGGTCACATATCTTAAACTCATCCTCCTCCTTTGGCGATCCAGTGTCTTAAACGCGCCCCTCATTATGCGATCCCGGTTGATCACACATCCTAAACCCGCCCCCTCATTTGGCGATGCAGTTTGACCACATATCTTAAACCGCCCCTTATTTTGGTGATGCCGGTTGATCGCATTTTCTTGCTTTAACCCTCGCCCCCGCCGTTGGCGATGCAGGTTGACCACATATCTTAAACCCGCCCCCCCTTGGCGATGCCAATGGCGATCACGATTGATCACATTTCTTGAACCCGCCCCCTAATTATATAGGCGATCCCGACTGAGCACGTATCTTCAACCAGCTCTCATTTTGCGATCCCGGTTGAGTTCAACCCAGCACCAGCACCAGCGCCAACGCCCGCCATCTTTCCTGCATGCAGCGCCAGTTCCAACGCCCGCCAGACCTTCCCCAAAAAAACACAGCGCCAGCGCTAGGCCTCCCCCGACAATGCAGCGCCAGCGGCAGTGGCAACGCTTGCAAAGCAACAGCGCCAGCGCCAACGCCAAAGCGCCACCGCCCGCCAGTGCCAGTGGCAGCGCCGCCAGCCCTAGCCCCAGCGCGAGTGCCAGCCCCCCAGCGCGCGGAATTAGTCTGTCCCTTCATTTTGCCTTTGAGGCCCGCTTTCAAACCGTCGGAGCCATTCAAATCTAGATTATAGGTTTGAACCTGCACAAGAACTTGGGTTGAACCTGGGTTCTGATCGGGTTTCGATGTTGATGTTCCTTCCCGACCCTGTCCCCGGACCTCCGGAGTTGAACCTGGGTTCGAACCCCCCCGGCCCTTGCTCATGCATGGAATAGTTTCTTATTTCGAAGCAATTTGTCGAAGCGGTGGGCAGGATGAAGTTCCAGTGTCGGCTCACGAGTTTCGGCTTGCCTTTGTGTTCAGGCGTATCTATTGCATTTTGCAAGCCGTCTGCAAAATTGGAAAGTTTGCGTGGGCAGGTGCATATCACTTCATTACATGAAAAACCATGTTGCTAGCTGCATGTTTGCTTAAGTCAGCGGGAAGGTAGCAGCCATGACCATGAGCATACTTTGGTTGTTTGCTCATCGTACTACCAACATTTCCGGACCACAAGGCTTGTAGTTTTGATGATCCTCGTTGCAGTGGGAAGATGAATTTTGGAGCGGATGTTTCAGTGTCGCATGTAACCTGCACGTCCCAAAACGTAGGAAGAAACTGGGCCTTCCAACCTTGCGTGCTGATGCGCTTCGGCCGACTACTCTTCGAATTGCTGTTGGGATTGGCGTTTCCAAGTGGGAATGCGGTTTTTGACACGTTCGAACGTGTCGGGGACGGCTTCTGCCTGGATTCGCTGAGCCTTGCTGGCAATTTAACATGCTTGTTCAGGTTCCAGTACCAGCTTTAACCGCAGATAGATCTGTGCAACTTCACGTGGTGCAGGAACCGGAGTTACGATGCCTTCACCATGCTCCCGTTTCAACACTACCACTGCTGTCTGGATGCTTGCATGGAGTTTTCCTTCTCCAATGCCGAGAGCCCCGGATTTCATATCACACCCGATGGAAACTGCACCATATTTATGAATGATGGTTACTGGCCACGCGGCAATTCTTCTGGCTTCCATTCGGTTCACACCTCCTCGACAGGGTCCGGAAGAATATCCGAGGTGCATTTCTTAGTTTGTTAATCCATCGTGACCGTGTTTTTGATTGACACGGAGGCACTCAGTACATGTCGCAGGCAGAGCCAGGGCTATCGCATACAGTGGCAGATGGATGCTGGAGGAAACGTGGGTACAGACTGGACGTTCCGACGAATGGATCCAGCGAAGATCCTGAGACCGGAGGCACCCCGGCAAAGTTAAGCGAATTGCATCGCATAATAGTGTAAGGGCATGCCCAGTTTGATTGGCACTTGGCGGTCGCACCATGTGTGTCCCAATAAGCTTAACGACTGTAGCGCACTCGGTAGCCGTTTCGTCCCGCCATGCACGTTATCACACCGATGCTTCTTCTGTCGCACAAACGGTTGCTTGCAGACAGACACCTTTTTCTTGCTGGTTATACAGCCTAATTCAGATCGTGGTCATTGATGGTCTGACATCCACGCGTGATGACAGAGCTCAAAGCCGAGGATCCCACCCTGGTCTTGCGGATTTCATAGAGGAAGACTTTGCCTACTGCCTCAGTGCCGGTGCTATACCAGGTCCATAGGGAGAAACGTTGCAAGATGTGCACAGACGGTAACATGCGTCGAGGGGTGAGGCCTGCACGGACGAAGCCGGCTTTAAGTTCTGCGTGAAAAAGGCTTAGATCGAAAAACTAAACACTGTAGTAGTACCTCCCCCTGTGTTTTGTTGGTGGGTGCAGGCCCTGCCATCATAAACACGGCTTCCACGATGGAGTCCTGTTGGAGCAGCTTCTCTGAAGTTTTAACTACGTGGGTCATCAGGACTTCGCAGTGTAGTCATTTCAACATAGAAGCTTAGACCTTGAAGTCTCCAGCTTGGTTTGACAACGCTGCAGGTGGAATTTAAGGTTTGGGTGGGTTTGTCTTTGAGTCAAAGACTCCTGGCCTGCGAATAGAGAAACCTAAATCCGACCTCAAGGGCAACCCCATGGTCCAGCTTCTTCTCTTTCTTGAAATCTAAGACGGGTGAACCGCGAGCGCTGAGGCTACTGCTCCGAAAAGGAGCACTGCGAGGCTCGATTTGTTTCAGGTGGTTGCTTGTTTCTGCAGCTTGTGCCATCTCTCTGGCGAGTCCGGAGCGGATGTGTTGGAGAACACTTGAATTGAATGAGTTCGCCGATGCTGCAGTTGACCTATTTTAGGACCGAAGCTCTTCTCCTGTTGCTAGGGAGATGAACTCCACAGCAAATCGGCAAGAGAGTCGAACTAAGCCATGAGTCATTGCCTGATCCTGCTCAAGGCCGGCTTGTTATTTAAAAGCAGCTCAAAGGTACAGGGGTGCCTACAGTACTGCAAATCCCAGATAGCAGAAATGGACTTATTCCTAGGCTACAGTGGGCATGGCGGAAGTCAACACAGGGCTTCGGGGTCATGGTGCACTTCAATTCATGGCCAGGCCTGCTTCCGGAACTGTGAGATAGGCCCGCGGCGCCCAAAGGGAGGGTGAAGGTTTTCAACTTTGAGCCAAGGCGTGTTTTGGAAGGAGTGGTCAGGTTCGGGTCCCATGGTGCTGTAAGCTGTGCTGGGCGAGGTTCGATTGCTTTGCTAAATTACCTCTCAGATGCCCCAGCAAGGTGTTTTTGTTCTAGTGGAGAAGGCACAAATCGGCTGCAAGCGATGCTCTGCATACCTTGTAACCCGGTCAAGAGGCTGCACGAACAGCTGCGAAGAGAGTGGTGAACCCACGTTCAGCCTCAGAGTTTCAGAGCCTCTTGAGGCAACTGCTCGGAGAGGGAAGCCGGCGGCTCGCCTTGGAGAATCATCGTGTGTCGGCGACAGCATGTGGCGACAAAGAGGCAGAGACCAAGGGGTATAAGACCGGTACCTTCGATCCTTCCGAGGCTGTACTTACTATGCCGTTCAATTCTGCGACTCCGGGAGAAGAAGCGATTGTGGCGTTCGCAGCCTCCGGCGTGGCCCCATCGAAGTAGAGGGAACTTCTTTTCGTCGTGTCTTGGTTTTGCTGCCAAAGCTTCTCCCACAAACCTCAAAGCTTGTGGGCCAAGGCAAAACTGTCTTTGATGGGCGCTCCGAGCCATCGGACATGATTCCACACCTGGTGGGGCTCCTGGCACTCTTCTGTGCGATTCAAGGCGGGAGCCATAGAAGGTTTCAAGGTCATGGAGAATTGCCTTCTCAGCCGGATCTCTGCCGACTTCTGCAGTTGCAGCAGGCATGGTGCTCCTCTGCTACTGAAGCTCGGCCTGTCTGCTTGATGCCGGGTGACAGGCACTCGATGATTGTCAAGACTTCCTGAGTTCCTTGAGATCCGCAATGTCAGGAAAATGCAACTGAGAAGACTTGATGCTTCATGAACGGCGTAGCATCCTGTAGTGGCGTCAGCCGGCGGTCGTTTCAACGCGTTTCATGCCGTTATGTGGTCGGAGCGATACTAGAGACTAGAAAACAAACCTTTCTATGTGAGAGGGAGTAGCAGAATGATGTTGCTGCTCTTGATGATGATGATGATGATGATGGTCGGGTTGGTGGTGGCGGTTGATGACCACAAAGTCGGGTTACGGAAAGAAACATGCAAACGGCTTCGTCCCGAATCAACGCCAAACTCTGTTTTGGCCTCAGATGCCCACCTAGATCCTCAAAGTGGACGATGAGACCATCACAGGAAATACTGTATAGCGTCCGAGTGAAGCAACAGCTTGCATCCGCGCAGACGACTGGCTAGCAGCAGGATCCGAAGCTGTTGAAGGCTGGTTCTGGGATTTGGGATGGAAGGGCTGAAAAGGTTCGAAGTGCTCAGACCGTGCTTAGAGTCAGAATCGTACAGGTTGCGACCTCCGAAGCCCGAGCGCAAAAGCCACCGCGCCACCAGTCCTAAGGGCGTGGATGGATCCGGACTCCACTTGGTGCCAAGGCACCCAGGGTCCGACCTCAAAGTCCTCATTCCGTGGCTTCATGGATGGCTGGATCGTTGAGTGTCAGCGTTGGCTTTAACGTTGGATTCTCGCTTTCGGCATGCTTGCACTCGTGACTAGCAGATATCTCCGAGACACCGGATCAAATCACTCTCGGCCTTGGTCATGCCCTGGTCCATCTCAGCTTTTCTTACGTAGATTCGTGGTGCCAGGCGGTGTGCTTCATTGATGAGCTTTGCCTGTTGGGAGGATACATGCATGGTGCTTCTGCACATGATGTTTGAAAGCGTAGGGAAGGAGGGTTGAGAGATCCGAGCAAGAGTTCTTGATGGTTGCCAGAGAAGATCACGCATGCTCGTGTACTTGTCGTGCCGTCGTAGCCCACCGCTGTCGACTTGTGGCGGAGAAGTACCGAGCCTGTAAGGAGCAGGGTGAACCACTGGGAGCTGACGTCCGTGCTGCATTGCCCGCATACTGGAGCGCCTCTGCTACAAAGGGAAGTAATGTGATTGTTGAAGCATTGGGTTGATTTCAGAGGAGAAGGCTCGGCCGAAGGCAACAAACCAAACGGCCGAAGCAGGAGCTTGAGTCTGGCTTCGCGTCCTGAGGCAACGCAGGTGAAGAGACGGAGTTCAATTCGATGCTCTATGTCGGAGAGGAGATGGTAAAGCCGGAAGAAAGCTGTTGGGATCTTGGAGCTGTATATGCTTGTAAGGAGCAGTGGGCGCCGTTTGCAGAACTCCTTGATTCTACCTATCGGGCAAGAAGCAGCCAAGACAGGAGCACATTGCGAAAGCTGATCTGGACTCCTGCATCTCGTCTTTCTTGTCTTTGCCGAGAGGCCATGTCCGGATGGCGCTTGCCCCAAAAGGCCCGGGGGATGCCCCTGCGTGCAGCCCGATGGCGAGCCAGGCCGGGGGGAGGCTGGATGAGTTCAGAAAGAGCAGGACTAGTACCTGCGGCCTCGAGGATTGCCCGCCAGCTACGTGATTCGCCGGGTGCTCCGGGCCGAGAACTCCGGGACACGGGGAAGCCATGGGCCAGCTCCACACCCAAGCCAACAAAGCCAACAAAGCCAACCAGCCGGCAGACACCCGACAACCCAACCCCCGCATGTCCGGAGGAGCTGGACGCGCTTTGTGGAGAAGAGGGCGCAGCTTCGGTCCAGACGCCAGGTCAGCGTATCAAAAAATGTATAAAGGTGTGTAATTCAAGCTTGCTCAGGCTTACTCGTCAAGGCTTCATTGTTTGCAGGTTTTCAGGCATCAGGTGGCTTTACTTGCGGGCTTGTGATTTGCGGCATAGGCTTTCATGAACAATGGCTCTAGACAGCAGTGTCGTATGCTCTTGCCTGTTATGTCGTCGGAGCCAACCAATACTGTCAATACTCTTCCGATTCTGGATGGCAGCGGCCCGCGCCAGTATGCGGTTGCAATTACTGTTATTTTTTGGGACACCGGGTTTTAGGCTCATGGGTTTGAGATTTGGGTCTGTCCTTGATGCAGGGCATGGGCAAAGTCGAGGATCCAGTCTGCACTGCAGGACTTGGTGTGACATCATGTTGACATGCGGTGACATGCGGAGTACACTTTGGGGTCTCATCAACTTGCATGCAAGGGTTTCGGTACTTCTGCCAACCTCCGTGCTGTGAGGAGTGGTGGACCAGCACCCTGAGCTGTTTACTCCTGTGGATGCAAGCTTGAACGAGGTGTATTTGTGGCATGGAACCCACATCCGGGCAGCCCTTAACATCGCGCACGAGGGTTTCGACATTCAGATGGCGGGATTGAACGGGACCATGTACGGCAAAGGCATGTACTTCGCTGAGAACAGCTCCTCGGCGAGCCGAGTCGATGAGTTGCGAGTGGTCTGCCGCTGGTGGTAGTCACTGCTGTGGTCTGAGGCACGAAAGCAGACGAGTATGCGAGGGACGAGCCGCATGGTGACTCGGGCTGATTCAGGGCTCCCTCGGTCACGCGCTCATGCCATAACGGGAGAGGGCTGACTTGTGGGGCCACTGTCCAGGCTTCTACCAAGACGTGTTCGCCCTCCTCCTTTGCCGCGTATGCCTGGGTAAGTTCCACTTTTCGGAGGATCGTTTTGACTCCGCAGGTCAGGGCCCCACATCTGAGAGAGATTTCCTAGTCTGACAAGGTCAGGTGCAGCAGAGTTGTAGGCTTTGGGCGCAGAATTTGGTTCTTGGCATATTGAAGCTTTCTTGTCTAGTGCACCTGTGCTCTGTAGATCCACCATTCAGTGAAGGTGGCATGGCGGAAGCTGGGACTATTGACAGCACAGTCGGCGACAGGACAGGTTGAAAGCAGATGCTTTATGCAGTTGTCTTCGCATCGGAGCTTCTCGCAAGGACTCGCGCGGCGAACACGTTCCGAGAGTTCACTGCCTACGATCCAGACCAGGCTCAACTGTGTCAAAGCTGGGGAGCGCCGAGAGCGGCTGGGCAACCTTCGTTTGCTCTTGCAGGTTTATCCGGAGTATGTGATCTTCTACTCTCGGCGGCCCAAGGCCAGCAAAGCGGCTTCAAAATTGCCTCTTGACTCCTTATCTCCGAAGTCCCAAGCTCGACTTCCGACCTGGAGGCCGTGGCACTGGAGGCATTTCGGTTCGGCCTGCCTCCGCTTCACCCACAGCTCCCTAGCTGCACAAAGGGAGCTGGAAAGGGGTGTGGATGCGCTGCTGCCATTTCGGACGACCCTAAACCCTAAACCCCTAAACCCCTAAACCCTAAACGTTCAGGCTGCCGAACTATTTCCAGAATTTCCACCTGAACCCGCAGGTGAAGTCTTTCGAGGCACGAGACAACTCCGCTCCAGAGCGACTCGAAACTGGCAATATTAATCCCACTACTCTTATTACTATTGTTCATTATTCATATTCATATGCTATTAATACTACACTACTATTACTATCATTAGTGCTAGGAGTGGTATTCTTCTTCTGCTTCTTCTCAGCTTTTCGTCTTGCAGGTGCAGTATGGTGTGCGGAGACCGGAACGCGATGGGCTGGAACAGATGGCGCAGGCGTGCTACCCAGGCTGGGAGAGTTGCAAACTGGATCGATTTCTGTTTTTTCCTGGCTTTCGTGAGCTCGGCTGCGTCGAAAAACTTTGCCATCCCTGAGGTGGTCGCAGGATCGAGGCTCCGCAGCTTGAGATTCGCGTCTGGAAGAGAATGTGTTTCTTGATGGACGACTTCTTTGGGTCATTCCGTTTGCTTGATCGGGGCTTGTCGCATACATTTGTAAGTGGTAGCCAAGGCTGGTGCACAGGCATTGTCGTGTAGCCACATGCCTTTTTTGAAGCAGGTCCTTTCAGCTCGCCGGATCGAGATATCCAGCCTCTGGAACCGCTACGTTCTTTACAAGAGGAGGCTACACCTGCAGGGTGGGCACAGATGTTGAAGTATACCGAAAAATCTTCCGAAACCTTTGCGGAAAGCTTCTTGTTGAAAAAAGCAGGAAGAGGATTAGGTCTAGGTGCAATCAGCACATGTTGCACAGGCTGCGAGGGGAGTTAGAAGCCTCCGGCCTCACAGCCTTCGCATCGGCGGAGTTCTTGGAGCGCTTGTGTTGTCTTGTCCTAGTGGCTCTCAGGCTTTCCGGTTGAGAATCACTGCAAGTAGGATGGGCATCCTGTTTTGAATGGTGCATGAGCTGCCTCAAGTTGTCGCAAGCCTGTCTAACGCATGCTGCGATAGGCATCCGCAGTGCCCCCTCAAAACCAATACTGCGAAGCGCAAGCCTCGGAGGAGGGCCAGGCACGCGGTGCAGCCGCTCGCGGACACTATTGGGTGAGTTTGCTGAAAGGCTTCGGGCTGGACCGTAAATTGGAATTGTGTTGCTACACGGGGTTGCTGCGGGTTGCATTGGCTGCAGGGCCAGTGCAGAAAAGTCTAATTTATTCAGCCGACATTTCGATATGATGTATCGTTTCTCTGATATAGACTGGCCGTTGAGTTAATACGAAACTTAGTGTTTTGTTGTTCTGCTTGGGAAGAGAGCAAGCATGATTGTTCGCATAGAAGGTGAGGGCACACCGTGGCCGCCATTTATGGACTCTTCCGATTTTTTTGTTTCTTTTCTTGCTATTCATTTTGCTCTCCCTGCTGGGAAGCTGAGGAGATTCTCACAGATGCCTTTATGAAGAGGCCGTCGGAAGGCCACCCATTCCTGGCTGTTGCCGCATATGAGTTCAGAGAACGGAAGGCCGTTGTTGCTCAGGTGGCGGGCGACCGACATGGAGGGGAGAGTCCTTGGAAGGAGAACTGCAGGCCGGAAGGGGCAGGGATTAACAATGATGGTCATAGTCATAGAAATGAATAGTAGTAGTAGCAGTAGTAGTAGTAGTAGTAGTAGTAGTAGTAGTAGTAGTAACCATAATAATAACAATAATACTACTAATACTATACATAACTAATCCTAAGTCTTATACCAGCACTACTACGGATTCTAATGCTAATGCTTTTACTTATTCCTAGTACTAATAATAAGTAGTCTTAACAGTAATTACATATTATTAAATGCACTGTTATTGCGAGCGGACCTCCATGCCTCGTTCAGTTCGTAGGGTCTCACGATGAGAGCTATGAGCAGAGTGTCACAGGTCTGCACAGCGGACTGCTGATATTAACATTCCTGCCTTGCGGAATGTACAATCCCTTTCAGTGCTCCGCCTCAAAAGCAACTTTACGGCTCAAGGAACTGCCATAAGCCAAAAACTTACGACTCAGGTTGTAGGCATCTGATCCAAGTGTTCGGCCATCCCGCTGCACAAACCTTCGGCTGAGCATCACCCTCTACGACGAGGAAATGAAAGCTTCTGTTTGAGTGCCTGCAAGGGAAAACGGTAGGCGTATCGGCTGCAAGTTGTGCATGCAGATTGCATTTTTCGTTCTGGTCGCAGTTCAACTCGACCACACCGCTCCCCAAGGGAGGTAGGTCTTTGCAGCCATGGCAAATCCTAGCAACGATCCAGCTGCAGTTCAGGTGTACG